GCCTGTGGTTACTGTTCATTTCTTATTGTGTCTTATTTCTAAATTAAATGTGACCCTAAGTAAGCACCCTAGAAGAACCGAGTGTGTATGGGTCTGTTCTCGCCCTTTCTGTGGGTCTTGGTAGATATTATCTGGGCAGGAGATCCAAAAGCTTTCTTGCACCAACCAGCGGAGCTGGGTGGAACAGCTCAGGCTTAGAGAGCCTGCCCGGCATAGTGCCTGGCTCCTGGCAGATTGCCAGTGAGTCCTGGTTTCCTTTAGGGGACAAATGATGGAACACAGCCAGGCTGCCTGGGGCTTCTGCAGGAACACGAGGTATTCCTGATGCCCTCGGTGTTGGCTGGTCTCTCGGAGTGGCCTGGGGATGCTGAGGAGGGAGGCCTCCTGAGTGCGGGGACAGTAGGGAGCTCAGACAAGGGGGCAGAGGGAGTTGTGGGTGCGGGTTCCCACAGCCACAAGGAGGTAAGGCCTGTGAGCGTGGGTGCAGGGAGCGAGAGGATTCGGTAGAGGAAGGAAGGTGACACGGTGGCCCAGGATGTACAGCCAGGAGAGTCGTGGAGGGAGGATTCAGGAGAGGAGCAGTGGCCTGGATTACAGGTGCAGGAGAGAGTGATGAGTCTCTGCAACAGGAAACACACACACCCAGCAGCCACACTGGGAGATCTGGTGCAAGCTGAGGTCAGGAGAGGAGGGACTGGGCAGCCAGCCCAGGGCCAGAGGTCAGAGGGAAGCAGCTGGGAGCTGGGCACACAGCCAGGGAAGGGGTGCCCAGCCAGGGAGGGGGTCGGCCACGTTAAGAGATGCTGGCACTTGGAGAGAGAGGTTGAAATGCAGGATGTGGAACCTTCCCCTACCACCACCAAGGACCAAGAGACAGAACAAGGGGCAATGGAAGAAGGAGGCAGTGGAGGCGGGGAGGGGAGATATACAGGGCATGGATGCAGCCTCGGGCACTTGGAACTGGGCACTGCTGCTACCACCAGGGAAGCCACATGCAGCTGTGGAAGGAGAGGCAAGGGAGGACCCTCAAGCAAGGGAACCACCAAGCAGCCCCGACCTAGAGCTGGACCCTGCAGGAGGCCTGGGTTCGCCCAGTCAGCCAACCCAAGTGAGGGTGAGGACAAGAGGGCTTCCTGGGCCCAGACGAGGGATAGGGTTAACATGCATGGAGGAGCTGGGCTGTGGGAGGCAGGAGTCCACAGCCCAAGCTCCAATCAGCTGGTTCTTACTGTATCCTAAGCTTCTCCAACTTCATTGAGATGCTTTCTTGGGTCCCTTGCAGTTAGGTCGCAGTGGGCATACCTCTCTAGGCTGATCCCAGGGGGCTCCCAGATGCCAAAATATCAGACCATCATACACAGCCCTGATGTCTGCATGGGAACGGCTGGGTGCTGGCAGCTGCCTTGAGCTCCATCTCATGGTGTACCCACGCAGGAAGCAATCCCACCCAGCTGCGACCACCCCCGCCTCCACCCTGGGCAGTGGAAGAGCCCTAGTAAAGGAGATCCCATTGTGATTTCTGGTCTCCGCCCACCCAGACCATCTCTCCCATTCGCTGAGAACAGACGCTAATAATAAAGTTGCATGTGCCAGAGCAAGGTGCATTTAAGCCGAAGCAGTGAACACCTCTCACGCTCTTTGAAACGGCAGCGTGCACCGTTTACACGTTTCACCATCAGGCACTAAATTGGCGTGGAGCAGACTGAGCTGTCTGTACAGGAAAGCAGGCACCAAGCCATCCGACATGGCTGTGTTCACCCCTGCCTCCAACCCCCAGCCCTCCCTGCACAGTCCTTAAGTCTTGGCCACCCTATGAAAAGAGACTGGGAAGATTAAAACAGTACACACTGAGCAGACAATAGACCCAGGTCAGGACCAAAGTCAGTTAGCCCGGTGCCTTCGGGGAACCATCGCTCCTGCCCAGAGAAGCAAATGTGCAATTAATTCAGGACAAACTAAAATCTAACTTCCATTTGACGTGATCTCCATAAGTTCACACTTCTGGGCCTTCCGCCCCCAGAAGGCGCCCAGCCATGGATTTTTCTTGGCCTTTTGCCTTTATTTTCAATCCCTCCCTTCTCTTCCCTTCTCTTTCCTCCTGATGCTACGCCTGCAACCCCCCACTCTCCTCTGGGCTCCTCGTCTGCTCTGGCCCCACCTGCATGGGAGCCCCCTAACTCCCAGACCCATCCACTTTCCCTCTGAGTGGAGCCAAGTTGGCCAAGAGCTGGGCTAGACTGCGGTCTCACTCAGGACACACTGAGCTGGGGTGCCGTGGAAACCCAGGAAGCCACCTGAGGGCTGCAGGAGGAGCCGGAGGACAGACACTCAACGAGGAAGGTAGGACAGCCTTGACTGTCCTAGTGCTGCCCTGCCAGCGCTCCTGCTCCACTGACAGGTGCGCACTGAGACAGGCAAGGCACATGGCCCACCCAGCCAGTCAGAAGATGGTGGGACCTGGGGTGGTGGGGCATGGCTTCTGCCCCTGGGCATCTTGCCCACGGGAAGGACTGCCTAGGAGACACCGCACATCCACAATGCTCCCCGCCTCCCTCCCACAGAGCCTCATTTCCAACAGATTGCCTCCCCTAAGAACTTGATGGGGCGTGAGAAGCCCTAAGTCTTACTCCAGATCTCTTGAGCCGTTCTAACAAGATGGTGTCCCTCGGGATGCCTTTTCGGCAGGTGGAGATGGACAGAAGCCCCCCCCACTTTACTGTGGCTCCACTCAGAGCTGGGGAGAAAGAGGCTTAGTTTGTAGCAATGGTTGGTGGGTTGGACTTGGCCAGCTGCCAGCTGTTAAACACAGGGACCGAGGTCATTGCCGTGTATATACTCTGCATGCTTCCTGAAGTTCAGAGGGTGGGTTGGTGGAATCTATTTCCCCTTCTATTGCCTCCTCTCTTCCTGCCTCCACCATCACATGCTCCCTCCCTCTTGGCACCCCCCAAAGCTGCCCCAGCCCATGTGGCCCTTGGTGCAAGTTGGGAAATTGCACCCCCACCAGGAGCCCAGCCCCAAGATGCTATAAAGCCATCTTCTGGGACCCTGCCATGATAAAATGAGCAAATGCGATGAGAGTGATGTGGACATGTGCTAACAAGATAGGCTCTGGTCCCGAAAGGGAAGGCAGGTGGCTGCTCCCCAGTGATCCCCTGCACAGTGACAAGGGCTGCCTATCACCTCCAGGGGAGGGAGGGAGGGAGGAAAGGAGATGCGCTCTGGGCAGAAGAGCAGGATTCTGCTTTGTAAAGGCAGCCCCGTGTCTGCTTCCAACACATCCTCATCTGCTTGCAATTTGGACTTTTCTCAATAAACCACAAGTGAGGTCTTGGAAAGTGTTCCAGTGACACTCTTACTTGCATTTAAAAAAAAAATACTTATTTTACTTATCTGAAAGGCAGACTTGTGAGTTTAAGGGGAGAAGGGAGACAGACAAAGAGAGGGAGGTCTTTCATCTGCTGGTTCACTCCCCACTTGGCTACAACAGCCAAAGCAGTGCCAGGCCAAGGCCAGTAGCCAGGAGCCAGGAGCTTCACCCAGGTCTCCCGCATGGGTGTAGGGATCTGAGCACTTGGGCCATCCTCCACTGTTTTCCCAGGTGCATTAGCAAAGTATTGGATTGGAAGTAGAGCAGTCAGGACTCGAACCGGTGCCCATGTGGAAGGAGAACAGTGTATTAACTTGCTATGTCTTAATTGCTATGCCACAATGCAGGCCCCCAAATATTTGCATTGTAAAGTAGCAAGAGGTTTTTAAAAACTGTGGAAAATGTGTATCCTGAGAAAACTAGGCAAGATTTTTTAAAAGTTCTGCATCAAAATAAAGGTACCTTTTCATTCCATTTTTTTTTTCCCCTATGAATTTTCTGAAATCCTCCTTTCCGTGACAAGAGCTTTCACCAGCATAGGACCTTGCATTCCAAAACTGCAGAGGGGGTTCGAGCAGAACTGCCCATTCCAAGCACACGTGCAGCAAACCTGGCACCCGTTATCACGCCATTTCACCCCCAAGTGTGAGCCATCAAGTCACACCTGAGGCTCTCAGGAGAAGAAAATCAAGGTGGCACAGCCACAGAGACCCAACTCACGCCCTCACTGTGTTGAAAATAGATAATTTATCATACATACATTGCCCGTGCCCCAGCCAAAGGGTTTCCATAGTGTGCAGAAAATAGCTACCCAGAGCACACCCCACATTCAACATGTCCTGAATTCCAGAGCGGCCTCCCCGCAGCGTGCAGCTCCTGATGACCACCCAGCTCCACCGGCAGGTGCACACTGAGACGTGCAAGGCACATGGCCAGAATGGGGTGTCTCCAGCATGACCATGGCTTTTCTGTACACCCCTGCCCCAAGGAAGCCTGGAGGAAGACACCTTTCTAAGTTGTGGGGGTCCGAGGAAGGGGTTGATGGGGGCTTGGCACACTGTGGGGGGTAGGGGTGGCCCCTTGCTGCAGTGGGTCCCTCTTGTGGCCCCTTCGGAACAGGCAGGGTTGGGGGACGGGACCAAGGCATTCTTCGGGAGTTCATTCCCCTGTCTGTGCAGGCCAGCCCTGCTGAAGGCGTGGGAGTCCACAAGGCCGGGAAGCTTGACATTGACCCAATAGTTCTCAACACCAGGAACCCAGGGTAACAGGAGAACTTGGGATTTGGCTCAGAAGAAAATGTCCGGGGGTAGAGGCATGTTCTCAGGGTTAGGGTCCCCCCAGCCCCTGCCGAGCCTCAAGGCTCGGATCCAGAAACTTCCTGCCCTGCGAAGATCCATCAAAGGCTGGGACCCCTTTGGTGCTTCTGGGGCGGGGGAGGGCAGTCCGGGACCTCTTCTTCGAAGGCATCTGAAAAGGCCAAGGGGGAAGGGGCTCCCCACCCCACCTCGCCTCCAGAAGGTTCAAGTGAAAAGAACCAAAGAAAACGACTTCACTGCCAAGGTCTCGTGAACAGCTGGCTGGCACTGCCAAGGTCTCGTGAACAGCTGGCTGGCGCAGGTGCCCAGAGGAGTGGCAGCCGTGTTACAGCTTGTTCTCCTCGAAGAGGATCTGGGCGTAGACAGTGCTGCTGGGGGCGCCCTTGGCCGTCTGGTGGGGCTTGATGAGCTCCAGCTCGGCGTAGGTCAAGGTCTCCTCGGCGATCTTGGGCTGAGAAAGAACAAAGCAGGGTTTTGGTTGGTGACATGCAGTTCTGTGTTACCTCCATCCACGCAGCTGGCACCCGGCTGCCTTCTACTTCAGTGAATTCATGAACACGAAGTCAGACAGGCAGAGAGAGGGAAGCAGAGAGAAAGAGAGAGCTTCCTGCCGCAGTAGAACAGCCATTCTAGGCCAGGCTGAAGCCAAGAGCGTGGAACCCAAGCTCGCACGGGGGCGGCAAAGATGACGTGAGCCACCAGGTTGCCTCCTGGGAACCTCATGTGCAGGAAGCTGGGGTCGGGGCGGAGCCGAGATTCATATCCAGGCACCTGATAGGGAATTGGGGGATCCCACGCCAGGGTCCTAGCCACCGCACAAGATGCCTACATGCCCCTGCCCCACAGCATTTTGGAGATGCTTAAAAGGAAACAGGTGGAGCAAAGGAATTAAGGGATATAGGAAAACCCATCAATGTAGTTAATAAGAGATATACTGAACACTGCTAGGCAAAGAGAAACCATGACTCAAGTTCTTTCCTTTTTTCTCTCTCTCTTCCTTCCCCCATCCTTCTTTTCTTTTCTTCCCTTCTTCCTTCCTTCTTTCCTTCCTTTCTTTTCTTTCTTTCAGATTTATTTAAAGATAGCATGCTAGAGAAAGGGAGAAATGAAGGGAGAGAGAAAGAGAGACTGATCCTCCATCCATTGGATCACTACTTAAATGATTGCAACAGCAGGCCTGGTGCAAAAGCCTAGCTGCTAGAGAGTCCTTGCCCTGAACGCGCTGGGATTCCACATGGGCACTGCTTCCAATCTCGGTGGCCCTACTTCCCATCCAGCTCCCTGCTTGTGGCCTGTAAAGCAGTTCAGAATGGCCCAACGCCTTGGGACCCTGCACCCACATGGGGGACTTAGAGGAGGCTCCAGGCTCCTGGCTTCGGATCGGCTCAGCTCTGCCCGTTACGGCCGTTGGGGAGTGAACCAGCAGGTGGAAGATCTTCCTCTCTGTCTCTCCTCCATTCCTGGTCTGCCACAGGGGTGGGGGAACCATGAACTTTCCTAGGTGCACAAGGAGTCAGCTGGAGTGGAGCAGCCGGGATGCCCACCAGTGCTCTGGTACGGATGCCAGCATTGCGGGGTGGCAGCTTCGCCCACTGCACCACAGGGTCGGCTCTGTCAGGGTTCATCCTCAGGTTGATGGAGAACATTAACCCAAAATGATTCAATATTAGGCTACTGCAAACCATCTCTGATCAAATTGAAAACACAAAGGTGGAGGCAAAAACGAACTCCAAAAAGTGAGTATCCAAACCAGAACACTCCCCAACTCGTACAAAACCAAAGTTTCAAACCATTAAAAAAAAGAAGAAGAAGAAGAAGAAGAAGCACCGTGGCATTGATGTGGTGGCAGAGTAGGCTAGTCATCCTCCTGTGGAGCAAACATTCCATATGGGCACCGGTTCTAATTCCAGCAGCTCCACTTCCCACCCAGCTCCCTGCTTGTGGCCTGGGAAAGCAGTGAAAGATGGCTCAAAAGCCTTGGGACCCTGCACCCGTGTGGGAGATCTGGAAGAAGCTCCTGACTCACGGCTTCGGATCAGCTCAGCTCCAGCCACTGTGGCCATTTGTGGAATAAATCACCTGACGGAAGACCTCTCTCTCTCTCTCTCTCTCTCTCTCTCTCTCTCTGCCTCTCATCTTCCCTAAAATTTGCACTTCAAATAAAAATAAATAAAATCTTAAAAGCAAAAAGCACTGCTTGGAAAAACATCATGGCCTTAAATACGGACACTAGCAGGAAACAGACTGAGCATCCAAAACAAGCAAAAACAACAACGAAATAAATACAACCAGGCTGCCTGACTAAGAAAACAGGACAAGGGAAAGACAAGTCTGGTGTTCGGGAGACACCCAAGCAGGAATAAAACGACAAAAGGGAAACCCGGACACAGCAGCCACCCACTTCCGTAGGAAACGAGCAAAGGGGGACATGGCAGATGGAGCGCATTGCTCAAAACAGAGGACAACTCCGATCCACTTGCTAAAAAGATTCTTAGAATTCACGGGGAGTGACCCAGAGAGACGCAGATGACAGACATGCCCTTCAGGAAACCTCAAAGCACCATGACCTTCAGGAAGAGCATGCCCGGTCAGGGAGTGCTCGCCCCCGCAGCCAGGCCGGCAGCGCTCCGGGAGCAGCTCTGTTCCTTCCAGCAACGTAACTCCAGCAACGTAACCGAGCTGTGTCCCCTGTGGGTGCAATTCCCGTGGTCCAGCTCCACGGATGCTTCCATAGGAGTCCTAAATCCAGGATGGAGAGAGCGGATTCCGACACCGGATTCCTCACCTGGAAGTAGGACCTTCCAGGCATGCTGGGGTCTTGACCACACCTTCAGGTGGGCGGCACGAGCGTTGCCCACCCATCTCTAACTGGCTAGGATTCACCAATGGGGAATATGTTACCTGTAGGTTCCTGCCCAACAAGGAGGGGTCAGGGAAGGCTTAAAACCCTAAGATCCTTCCAAGACCCCTTTCGTGTCTCTCCCTCCCCCTTTCGTGAGGTACCCCAACTCCTGGCTTTCTCCTGAGAGGTGTTTTCCCCTTTTCTTTTCCTCCACTCACCTGGTCCCTTGCAAATGAACTACTCTGTCTGCAACAGATTCCCGGCTTTTTATTTCTATGATAAGCTGAGGGGAGAAGCCACCGGGCTTTTCTGGTAACAGGAGACTCAGACATGCGCACCAGATCATCACCAGGAGACACTTCACATCTATTGGTGCAGCAGGAACGAAACGTTTTTAGAGTCAGAGAATGCATAAGTCATTTTCTTTTGGGAACACAATTTTTTTTTTCTAGAAAAATCTATTGGTAGGGGCCAGTTGGCTTAATTGGCTGATTCACCAGGTCCAAGTGCAGGGATCCCACATGGGCACCAGTTCATGTCCTGGCTGCTCCACTTCCCATCCAGCTCCCTGCTTGTGGCCTGGAAAAGCAGCAGAGGACGGCTCAAAACCCTGGGACCTGTGTGAGAGACTTGGAAGAAGATCCTGGCTTCAGATCAGCTCAGCTCCAGCTGGTTGTAGCCACTTGGGGAGTGAACCAGCAGCAGATGGAAGATCTTTCTCTTTGTCTCTCCTTTCTCTGTGTAAAAATCTGCCTTTCCAAAATAATAATAATAATAATAATAATAATAATAATAATAATGAAGAAATCTTTAAGAAGAGAAAAACCTATTTATAGAATTCACCCAACTAAGAGATTATGCAAAAAGCCTTAAGAATATCTTACATGTGTTGGAAAAGAATGTAACATAATTAAGAAGCCATTTTAAGGGACAGAATTATGAGTCAGCTGGTTAAGCTGCTCCACTTCTGATCCAGCTCCCTGTTACGGTGCCTGGAAAGCGCTTGGGCCCCTGCACCTGCGTGGGACACCAGCATGGATTGCCTGGCCCCTGGTTTTGGCCCCTTGCAGCCCTAGTTGTTGCCACTGGAGTGAATCAGTGGATGGAAGGTCTTTCTTATTCTCTGTTTCTCCCTCTTTCCCCATAATTCTAGCTTTCAAGCAAATAAATATTTCCAAAACCATTTTTGTCAAAGGCAGATTTTTGAATAAAGAGATGCATTTTCTCAACATGATTAAAGAACATTATTAAAGTATAACTCAGGATCCAACTGCAGATATATTAAAAATATATAATCTGAAATTAAATTCTGGCATTGGCAGATAAGCAGATGTGTACCAAAAGGACTTTTGAGAAAGATCAGAATTAACCTAAATATTGTTTCTCCATAAATAATATTGGGATAGACAGCCAGTGGAGAGAAAGATGGATCATTTGCTTATAACATTGAAGCAAGGAAATTCAAAGGAGTTAAAATGTTTACTATGGAAAATAAACCCAGAAAAGCACCAGGAAGATATGCAGGAGTTAGATAATTGTCTCAGAGTATGGGAGGCATTTTATTTTATTATTATTTTTTAAAATTTGAAAGTCAGAGTTACAGAGAGATCTTTCATCTGCTGTTTCACTTCTCCAAATGGCTGCAATGGCCAGAGCTGGGCTGATCTGAAGCCAGGACCCAGCAGCTCTCGTCCCCCAAGCACTTGTGCCATCCTCCGCTGCTTTCTCAGGCTCAGCAGCAGGGAGCTGGATCAGAAGTGGATCCAGCTGAGATAGAAACCAGTGTCTATAGGGGATGCTGGTACTACGCTGCAACCCAGTACTGGTCCCTAAGAGAGGTATTTGAAAGAATGACAAAACCCATTGGCAACCGAGGAAAGAGGTGAGCACTTTCACGCTACAAAAATGTACATGGCAAAATTAGTCTGTAAGTCTGGCTGCAGGACAATGAAAACCGCAGCGGAAATGCTTGCAGTTCACATCCAAAGACCTTGTGTGTCAGCAGAGATGCCGGCCGCTGCCTCCCAACCATCAGTGCACTACAGCAAAGCACCACACGGCAGAACGTACCAGAAACACACAGGACACCCCACACACGTGCCTCTGACAAGGACGTTAGGAGACCTAGCCTCGCCCACAAAAAGAAATAATAAGAGACGTGGGGTTTCTTAACCATCACATTGTGACACACAGAAAATAAAAGGACAGACATTGATTTCATTGAATTTTCAGAGGTGGGCATATTTCTGAGATAAGTAAAGCCCTAGAAATACTGAAACGGACGTCAGGGGGAGACTGGGCCATTCGTGTGGGATCCTGGATGCAAAGATGACGGAAGTTTCTGTGTGTTTCATGATTCACCATCATTTATGTAAACACATGTGACTTACATGTGTTTTACATACTTTCGCAACCCCTCAGGGCCCTGGGAACCCATCAGTGCCCTCAAGGGAAGTCAGCAGGCTGGCTGCAGAGTGCCTCACCCTTCACTGCATGGCTGGGCTGGCACCTGGTGCACTGTGCAGCAGGCAGGTGCACTTCCCTGTGCGCTAACGCACTCAGGTTCACACTTTTCTTTTTTTTTAAAGGTTTATTTTTATTTATTTATT